TTCTGCATTTGATACTTTCTTCTCTCTAGGGACAGCCCCACTATTCTTTGGTTCTGTGGCTTAAGCAAATCTAGCTTTAGTTGGTTTGCCAGCCTGGGTTAAGGAGCATGCCACCAGCAACGGTGGCGTGGCGGACTGAAAGAACAGCAAATGGCCTAGCTGCCGCTCTCTTGTTCCTCCTGGGACCTGATCTCTGCCCAGCTAGTGCCGGACAAAGGAGTACTTTCAGCCCTCAGTAAATAGCGTATTGTGTCAGGGAGGAGGTGGGGCAGGGAATGACAGCATCATGCCAGCTTGGCTTGCTGTGTTAAGGAAAGATGTCGGGCTTTCTCAATTTGCTGCTGTTGGGGCAAGGGTGCTATTTATGTGGGTTTGTTTGAGATCTACATTCCATCAAACTGCTCTTCACTCTGTTTGATGAAAGCTCGAGGAGCTTCAGAAGAGAAACAGAAGATCACAAGAAGAGAATAAAATGCTTCTGTAAGTAAAGGTTTGCAGAATTGCAGGAGTGCATGAGTGTGTATGTTGTATGGATCAGTCCTCGTATATCCTTAGAGAGAACCATGTCTTTGTGGGTCACCTCTGGCTCTGAGCTATTTTTTTCATTTTGAAAGCACAGTGGTAGGAGGTGAACCTTTGTCTACACTGGGCACTGAAACCACATGTACAGAGGCCAGGGAGTTAAGATAGCATTACATAAGACATCAAGAGTTCAGATGGATTTCAGATACCAGTCTCTCATAACACCAAGCAGTCTTATTGCTAGAAGGACCCTGGGTCCTGTTCTCATGGTTCCTAACAGCAGCTGAAGGAGACTGAGTCCATGTGCAGCCGACCATGTGGACATTCTCAGTGGACAGGTCAAGGGCTAACCGAGGGTAAGAGTCATTCCTGTAAACTGAGTTTAGAGTTAGGCTAGTGTTCTGTGCCTGACAAACAGTCCGGGAAGCCTTTACCATCTCTGGTCTTGGTTTTCCTCATCATCGTTTGCTATTGTGATGTTCCAGTGAGGTGCAGGTTGTGAAAACCTCTCCAAAGCATGAAGTAAATACAGTTCAAAGCTTGGGCAGAGAGGTCCCAGCATTTCTGTTTTCTTAAAGTCATGCCATCATTTTCGTTGGCCTCCCCTGCTACCTGTTTTCTACTCATACATCCTCTAAGGCATTCTCATTCTCAGCTCTTGTTCTTTGCTGGGCTTATGGAAGCTTTCCTCGACTGTTCCTACATTTCCTGTCATACTTTTTGACTCAAGTTTTAGAGGCATTTTTAAATGAGCCAGCTGAGCAAACACTTTTTTTAGTGTGTGTATCTGTCTGTATATGTGTGTGCCACATGCATGTGGGTGTCAATGGAGGCCAGAGAAAGGTGTTGGATCCCCTGGAGCTGGGGTTACAGGTGGCTGTGAGCTGAACTTAAGTCCTCTGGACAAGTAGAGAGTGTTTTTAACTGCCCAGCCACTCTCTAGCCCCACAAACACACCTTTTGTAAGCAGGAAGGAAAGGAAGAGTGTGCAAGCTGTAGTAGAAGCTAATTGTCAAGTAAACTTGTGCGTTCCCCACTAAGCAACATGGCTTCCTAAGACAGTTAAGTTGTATTCTTAGCAAACAGCAACATGATGTATGTGCCTGGGCTGTTAGATGATGATATGGAAATTTGCTTTTGAAGGAATGCAGGAAAATTCTAAACAGAACACCCCTGACATAAAAACAAGATCTCTTGGTTTTAACCACTTACTAGCAAGTACATATGCCTTAATGTTTCCAAGACCCATCAGGACTGAATTTTAAAGAGTGGGGTCTATCTTCACACAGAGCATAAAATGGCTCTTTACTGTATCTAATTTTCTTTGACTATAAAGTCCACCTCTGTTTTTAAATATCTGACTCCTTTTTCCTTTGTAGCATGTAAGTAGAAGGGAAAAGATTTATAATGCTACCAGTGCTTAATAGTTATTCTTGACATGAATATGTCATATATCTAAAGAATATGTGTTTCTTTATCATAGCTCTCCAATACACAGCCTTAACCAGTTTGCTTGGTTGGGCTGCAGGTTGTTACCTGGCTTTGAGCGTGGATTAAAGTGCTATAGCTTGTCATTATCACCCACTAAATGTGAGAATGTGACTAGATTTAAATGCTTAGCATTACAGATTAGCATCTAATACAATGTTCTTGCACATATGCTGTTAATATATGATTCCCTGAAGTTTTTAAAAAGTTCTTCTCAACCTGTGAAACTTTCTTAGTACAATACACTCTATAGCTTGGTTTTACTGCTTAAACTAGATAAATTAATCCCCTGTGTATGACTCTATTTGTTTGGAGATGAATTATTTGATATTCTCACTCCAGGATATAATTCTGCTGTGCTCTTCCCCTATAAATTCATGCAAGGTAGATTTTATGGAAATTACTTCAGAGACTTGGGAAAAGAAGAGAAAAGGGCATGGGTGTATGTTCCAGAGGTGGGTATGCCTCTTCAGGTTCAGATTGCGGAAGGGTAAGGGCAATGAAGACATGGGGAGTAAAATGATTGGAGGGCAAGGCCAGTTCACACATTAAATCAGAAAGCTTGTGTATGCGTGTGCGTGCTTTTTACAGTCTCAGTGCAAGTAAGACCTGGGCTTGAGTTATCTGTGTATCCTTAAAGTCTCAGTGTAGACATCCATTCTTCAGACAGGCCCTGCCCTGTGCCTGGCAAGCTTTGCTCACTTCATTTTGTTCTTCCACATTATGTGGCCAGCCTGATCATTAGCACAGCCTTCCCAGCTGCCAGCACAGTGCTTGATACACCCTAGGCACTCAGTTATGCAGAGTGATAGGAAGAGCTCAGTTCCTATGACTGCATCTAGAACAAATACGCTGTGAGTGTGCCCTGGCATCTGTTGCTTTCGGAGATGTCTCATGGTGGTTAGACATACCATCCAACATCTTATCCTTCATTTCAATGGTTTAAAAAACATAGCTTTTGTCTCTTATTGGGAAGCTGAGAAAAATGAAAACAGTGTCTGTTTGCAGAACTGCCCCTGGCAGCAACACTCACTGATGCTGGTCCCTGCCCATGGGTGGAGCAGTGGGGTGACTCTACTCCCAGCTCCTCATTGGCCCATCCTCCACCCTCTGTTCTCCTGAGAAGTCAAGTATGGATTTTGTCTGCTAGTTACCTTTAGCCCAGTGGGCAGCAGCGTAGGACTCGGCATGTGACTAACGCCCTGAAAGACCTTGGCAGGCCTGGTAAGCACCCGCTGAGCTGCCCTGGCCCCTACCCCACCCCAATCCTCACTGCCCTTTTCTGGTTCTGCTGTGATGTGTCACCTAGCAGTCAGCTGTCGGTGGCACAGATGGTGAGTGGTTTTGTAAGCATGGTGCTTTCTCTCTAACGTTATGATCTGAAGACACTTGCTTATCTGTTCTTTCTCTGTTATGTTAACCTTGACATTCCGTGTGTGTGTGTGTGTGTGTGTGTGTGTGTGTGTGTGTGTGTGCTTACTCTTGCCCAGAGCTGGGATAGTACAAGCTTGAACAAGCTGAACAAATGTATTATGCTGTGTCCTGTGGTATTATTGGTTAGAAAAAGCAGCTTGATCTTATGTTACTCTGTGAAAAAAATAGTATAATAGTACAAATTAAATATACACAGATGATTTCTATGTTTCAAAACTATTTTCAGCCTTGTGACCAAGCTATTAAAAGAATGGACGCTGTCTGACTTAGAGTGGTAGAGTGTGAGCCCTTGTTTCATTGCGGTGGAGTTTTGTGCAAAGTCCCTCGGCTCATTTCCTATTACTTCCTTTCCTGTGTACCAGACTTTAAAGGAATTATTCATCAATAGGTTTATAAAGTAGAATTGTTTTTGTTATCTCTCCAGTGCACACTTATTTTTTTTTTAGACTAGTGTATATATACATTGTAAGATTCAGTTTGGGGCTTTGATATATATTAATATCCATTTAATTTTCTTCATTGTAGTTGGCTCCTTAACTTTTCTCTGTAAACTGTAGGCAATCATCATTTTTATTACCACAGTACTTAGTGTTCTGCACCCAGGACTAATCAGAGAGCGCTGGTAGAGGAAATTATGGCAATATTTAACATTTGTTGAGCACTTTTCTTATGTATGGCATCATCCTAAGCTGTTGATGTGAATCCTTTAGTAGTAGTCCTAAAAGCTCACTGCAATGGGTACTGTTTTCATCTCCATTTATAGAGAAGCAAAGGCACCGTGAGGCAAAGTAATTTGTCCAGAGTCGCACAGCTAATAAAGTAGAAGCAGGATTTGGTTCCAGAATGTAATCTTCACTGTTCCACACTTTCTTTCAAATACAATCCTATAATCTCCCACTAGACCTCTGGTATTCAGTTTAAAGCTTATGTACACTAATTTATTTGTTCATCTTAGATATAGTATCTTGGGGAATATAAAAGAAGGAGATCTAATTAAAACAGCCAATTATGGATCTCCTGGCATTTATATGTCACTTCTTTTGGGAAGCTGAAAGACATGTTGAAATTTAGGCTGGTCTGTTTTACCAGTTGGGGAACTTGTTCTGAGATCTCTTGGAAGAAACAACACCTTATGGCCCTTAGGTGGTTTGGGCTTGTTTGCACGTCTTCATTCATATCTCCATTAGTCTTGATAATGAGAGTTGAGTGTGTTTGATGAGGTGGAAGAGAACAAAGATCTAATTTCAGAAACAAAAGCTAACAATTATACCACTTACTTGAACATTTATGGCAAGAATTCTTTGTGAGTAAAGTCCTTTTAATATTAATGAAAACATTTTTATACAAGATAATGGAGAAATGGAACAGAACTAAATGACTAAAGTATTGCTAGAAAAAAATGAAATTTGACTTGTGGGAGAAGACCTGGACTATTAGACTGTGGGTTTAATGCCTTTCATTGACCAGCCAGCCATAGCACTAGTGGCTGGCCTTTAGGAAGTCTGGAGAAGCGTCTGCCCCCCTGGAGTAAGCATGACATCTTTCTCTTCTGACAGAATTCGGCCTAGGGAACCACCAATACAGGACCATGGAAGTCCACGAACTGTTCCGGTATTTTCGAATACCAGAGTTGATTGACATCCGGCAGTACGTGCGCACCCTTCCAACCAACACACTCATGGGCTTTGGAGCTTTTGCGGCACTCACCACTTTCTGGTACGCCACGAGGCCCAAAGCCCTGAAGCCACCATGTGACCTCTCCATGCAGTCAGTGGAAGTAGCGGTAAGTGGTGCCTAGCCTGCCTGTGGGCTTTCTCTCTGTTTCCTGATTAGTTTAGCTTTGCTGAAGTGATTGGTTTGTGAGGACATTTTATAAACAGAAGTGTGGTCAACAAACAAGTTACTGATGGTAGTAAACAGATGTAGAGGCAAAATACAGGGCACAGGAACAGATAACGTGAGGTAGGTTGGTTGTCTCTCCACAGTCATGCTGAAAATCATTCCAAAAATTACACTCAGCTTCCCTGTGCTAGGCTCCATGGTAGGAATAGAAAATTTACCAGGAGAAAAAGACAACAGAGTCCCTGTCCATCATGGAGGAGAGTCATCAGATGCTACAGAAGAATTCAATTTACCAGGAGAAAAAGACAACAGAGTCCCTGTCCATCATGGAGGAGAGTCATCAGATGTTACAGAAGAATTCAATTTGTGGCACATCTGATCCTTAGAACTCATCCTCACATTGTTAAATGGGACTCTGGGATTTCACACAGGATAAGGCTAGCATGGGCACCTAACAGAGTATCATGGCTGCAGCATTTAAGATAAGGCATGAAGAAATAAAAACACCCGGGAGCTATTTATGCTTGAATTGTGGGTACTCTGTTGCTTATGGCTTGGGGAAACTGAAGGTTGTGAAATATCCATGGACACGAAGGCTGAGTGCATGTGGTTAGGGATAATGAGTGGATGGCATAGGCGGTCCCCAGACCCTTCCAGGAAGAATCTTCCTTAGAACCCCTGCCTTACCTTCCTTTCCTTTTTTACAAATATTTTATTTATTATTTTTACTTTATGTATATGAGTATATTGCCTGCATGTGTGTAAGTGCATCCATGTCATGCAGTACCAACAGAGGTCAGACAAAGGCATCAGATCCCCTGGAACTGAAGGTACGAATTGTTGTTAGCCACCATGTGGGTACTGGGGAATCCCCAGTCCTCTGCAAGAGCAGTCAGTACTCTTAATCGCTGAGCCATCTCTCTAGACCCCGTTCCTCCTTTTTAAAATTTTTTATTTTATTTTATATGTACGAGTGTATTTATTTTATGTATGTATGTAAGTGTACCCATGTCATGCAATGCCTGTGGAGGTCAGAAGAGGGCTTCAGATCCCTTGAACTAGAGTTATGGACCAGGGAACTGAACCCGGGTCTTCTGCAGGAGCAGCCAGTGCTTTTAACCCTGAGCCATCTCTCCAGCCCCCTTCCTTTCCTTCTTAATCACTTTCCAAAATTCACAAAAAACACAATCAACTGAAAATAGTCACGTGCTCTTGGTACTTTGACTCCTTCTCTACTCTCTGCTTTGTTGTTGCTTGTTTCTGCTGCTTAGGTCAGAATTCATGTTCGGTATTTATTCCTTTCAACACAGAAAGAGGTTGTGAAACACAGAACTGTTTAATTTGATGCTTTTAAATGGAGAAGTTAAAGGGTCCCCCAACTTTTCCCTAGATAGAGAGTATACTAGCAGATGTGTACGGCCTTCCACAGAAAGCCTTGACTTGATCAATGGGGTTTTAGTTCTTTGTTTTATTTTAAACAAGTTCTTAGATTCACTAATATGAAATTCTTAAAATATACCAAAGATGTGTCAGTCTAATTCATGTCATATATAAATAGAGAATGAGTGAGCCATTGCCGAGAAAACCAAGCCTTACACTTTATTTCTACTGTGAAGATAAAGGTCCTAGGTCATCACACACTAGTATGGGGAATCTGGCTTTTTCTTCTGAGTTGCTGTGACTTTTGGGCATCTCTTCTGCATAGCACCTGGTGTACTGAGTAGCATTGCTGTCACTGTCAAAGGGTAGTTGGCAAGGACAGAGCTTAGACACTAATAATCTAGCAGCAACTGTTGGAAATGCCTAATTCTCATTAGACAAGAAACTGTCGGGGATCTTATAATGTGATTATATTTATGTTCCATCTTAGCATGAAGTGATTGCACCTTATTAACATAATTATATGTGTTTTCTGAAGAACAGTTTAAAACTACAGATAAACAGAAAGAAAGCTAAAACCCTATGCTTTTACTACCCAGTATATATAAGTTCTGATTTTTCTCTTTGTATTTAGCTCTGAGTTTCAGAATTCAGAGATCTTAGGAATAATGAACTTGTTTTGCTTTTTAAAAACTAAAATATAAAAATTTAAGTTTAAACATGGTCTGGAGTTTGGGAGCTCAATATAGATGCTTTGATATAGTTGTTCTATGGACCTCTATTGGCAGGAAAGAGGAACTCCATTATTTTCTAAAGTATTGGTGATAACCCTGTATACCTGGTACCACTTTAGGGGCTGACCATCAGGGGGAAACACTGTTGCATTATTCCTACTTTGAAAGCAAGTAAGCATCACCTGCCAGTTCTGTCCTTACCCAGCTTCCCCCAGCCCACACAGGTTCTATGACTTCCTCTTCCCATCAACTTTACATGGATGTTAAAATGGAACAGTCCACACTTTTATTTGGGCACTTCTCATTCCTACTTACCCTAGCTGTTTTCCAGCTCTGCTTTTTTTACAGCAGCAACACAAAGCTTCAGTATAAGTTAAATCTTAACGTTTCCTCTAACCACTCAGAGCCATAGAGAGAATGTGAGCATACCTGCTGTAGACCTGTGCAGGAGAGCCACTCAGGCAGGTGGCTGGGCTTGGGACCAGAATCCAAAGGCCTGAATGAATGTTTGAGAAGGGTTTAATCGAGGGCCCTAGTTCAAGAGCCTTGTCCTTTTCGGGGTGGATGTGTTGCATTCACCCATCAGCAGTGAATTTCATGAAGGCCAGCCTCTTGGAGCCAGGAGGAACACCCACCTGCTGAGTATTTGTGCTGCTGTTGCTCCATAACTTTGAACAAACCCAGAAGCAGGTTTTGTGGGGTTTATTTGTTTGTTTTAAACCACTTTCATACTTAATATACAAGATTTCCCATTTTCTTCCTGGGTCCTTGCTTGCTGTCTGAGATTGAGTTCCCCAAGATGTTGCTCAGTGCAGTGACTTGAAACCTTTGGGGACTAGTTAGAGTCCAGGTCCTTGGGGCTGTAGTTAAGGGAAGCATCAAGGCCTGTTGGGGCTGAGAAGGACTTGGAAGACAGACCAGAGAGCCCTGGGTACATTCACCTGACTCTTTGGACTTTCACATTCTATGTCTGAAAAGCAGAATGACAGTACCATCCCCATTCAGCCAAGAAGACTACATAGACACATGACTGCCTGGCTCATGATATGTTCAGTATTAGTTTTCTTCCTCCTGAAAAATCTTTTCCTGGGACTGGAGAGATGACTCAGTGGTTCTTGCTGAGAACCTGGGTTCGATTCCCAGCACCCAGTTTCAGGAGCTCTTAAACACCCTCTTCTGGCCTTTATGGATATTGCACAGCACAGGTACACTTACATACATGCAGGCAATACACTCATACACAAAAAAATAAAAATAAATAAAATATTTAAAAAAATTTTTTTCTTTTAGCCAGGCACAGTGGCACACATCTTTAATCCCATCACTCAGGAGGCAGAGGCAGGTGTATCGCTGAGTTCAAGGCCAGCCTGGTCTACATAGTGAGTTCTAGGTCACCTGGGACTACAGGGAAGCTCTGTCTCAAAAAGACCAAAAAAAAAAAAAACCGAGAAAAAACTTTTCCCTTAACCCTCATATTTTGTCCCTCAGGGAACTGAACCCAAAGAGTCAAAGTTCTGCCACAAAGTTGGAGGAAGATCTGGGCATTGTGCTACCTTCATTATAGTAGTCAAAGTTGTACGTTACCACTAGGGCTCTGGGGAGGAGAACAATTTAGGAAAATAAAGAGGGTTAGATGGACCCAGGTAAATCTGAAGAATCAATGGCCAGAGCCTTGGGCAGGCTTTTCTGAAAATGAATACATAGGCACACAAGTTTGAAGGTAATGATAGAAATAGAAGAAAGAGGGGGAAGTATAAGAAACAGAACAGCAAAGCATGGTGGCACAGGCCTGTCATTTCAGCACTCAGGAGACTGAAAGAGGAGGATCACAAGTTCGAGGGCAGCCTGGGCTACATAGCAAGATCCTGTTTCAACAAAACAAACAGGCAGAGAAAGATAAGCAAGGGAGGCTAAGTTCTTGCATAGGTTGGCTGTAGAATCAGAAACTATCAAGCATCAGATAGTTGAAAGGACAGTTGGGAAGGGAGAGAAAGGCTTAGAGCTATGAAACTTGAGCAGTTCTGCACTTCCTGAATCTTCTGAGCCAGGTTGGACACAGATGTGGCTGAAGTGGAACTTGGTACTGCTGGGGGCGTAGGCCCAGCTCTGAGGCTCAAAGGATTCAAGGACATAAACTGCTATGAAGTACAGAGGCAGTAGAAAGAAAAGGTGAGAGGTGTGAGGTTGGCAGGAAGGTAATTTACCACCAGATTAGATTAGAAAGGTTTGTTATGACTGCTGCTAGGTCAGAAAGTGCTTCAGTGAAAATTCATGTGTGTCTGTTTTCTCCAGCCATTGGAGAAGGTAATAAATTGTAACAAAAAGTAAGTCCTTAGCCTTTCTAAAATTTTTAGACTATTAAAACTTAGGGTAAATTTTACTTCCAGTGACTAAACCACTTAGTAAATAGCAGATTTAGTGTCTAGAGTTGTTACTAGATGTGGTTTCAAGTTTGGATTCATAGCTTCTAATATGCAGAACTAGCTTCTTGTGTCTAACTCATCTTGGTTCCAGGTTGGATGACATTCAGTATACAAGCTAGCCAGTGACTCTTATAATTGAGACTTACACATTCATATGTTGGGATATATGCTAGCAACTCACCTTAGCACTTTAACCATATGCTGCAGAACATCTAAAATAGAGGATGTGAAGCTTTGGATGTAATCCTCCACAAGTCAGAGAATAGTTGTCAGATAATCATCCATTCAGCAAGTGCTTGAATGTCTGCTACGTGCCATACACAATATGGGAGCAGGATAGGCTTCTGCCCTTATGAAACTTACTGGCCAGTGAGAGCTGCTCAGGGCCCCTCCTCTCTGGGGTA